TGTGTGGGTAATTGTCAAGCAATTTACACACCATCCGAATACACGACTATTGTGAATATCTTGCTGCATTTCATCATTGCTGTAGCTTCAGGCAGTATATTCCCGCAAACGTTTCAAAATATGGCATAAAAATTTATACTCTTGTAGATGGGAAGACTTATTATGCTTTCAATTTTGAAGTTTATCCTGGAACTCAGCCACCAGGTCCTTATTTGTGTAGTAATAAACCAAATGATGTTGTGGACAGACTTGTTACTCTCATCTCCCAAACTAATCAGAATGTGACTGGACAATTTGTGTACAAGTTTCCAATTGTTGTTACATTTGCTAAAGGAGCACAAGTTGGCCAGTGTAGGAACTGTATACAGGAACAAAGCAGAAATTCCAAATGAAGTGTTGCAATTTCAAAACATAGAATTGTGTAGTACAATCTTTGGATTTCAGAAAGATATAACATTGGCTTTGTATATGGCAAAGAAAAGCAAACTGGTACTGCTGATGTCAACACTGCACCATGATGGAAATATTGATAGGGAAACCTTGACAAAACAGAAGTCTGAGATGGTAACTTTCTGCAACAAGACCAAAGCCAGAGTAGCTGTTGTTAATGAGTTATGCAGCAACTATGATGTCACTCAAAACACAAAGCATTGGCCAATGGTTGTGTCTTACTTGATCCTAAACATGTGTGGCATTAATAGCTTGATAGCTTACAAAGAAAATAACAAGTACAAAACATCATGGAGAAATGTTCTTAGAAGATTGAGACTGGAACTCATAAAAGATCATTTACAGCAGAGGAAAAATGAAATATTTCTGCCCACGGAACTATGCAAATAAATTGTGGACCACACTGGTGAGCTGACAGATGAACAGGCAGGCACAGCATAACAAAGAGCTACTATGACAACAGAAAAATTGAAAAGATGTCAACTGTGCCCTACAGAAAAGGAGAGGAAAACAAAACATATGTGCTATCAGCATAAGTGATACTTATAAGTGATACTTGTATATGGGTTTTTTTTTGGTTTTGGTTTTTCTCCAGTACCGGGAACCGAACTCACGACCTTGCGCTTGCCAGGCAGGTGCTTTGCCGCTGAGCTAAATCCCCAGCCCCGATATTTGTATATGGAATAAACATTTTTTCCTGTGTGAAGACTGCCTTGGGTGTGACAGTTGAAGTAAAGATTATTTCTGTGGTAAACTTTTGTTTATAATTTAAGTTTTGCAAGCAAGTCAATAGCTGATATGAAAATGTTGATGTCTATTCTAAGCACTCATTGCATATTTGATATTTTATTGCTATCTTATTTTCCTGCTAAGTGCACATTGCACAATACAGTAGGAAGCTCCTGAAACAACGCAAGAGAGGTGACAAGAATGGCCTGCCATATGGGAAAGGAAAGCTAAGCACATGTGCTGTCAGGGCCAGGAAGACCTGTACATGGAACAATTGTCATGTATGAAGATACATGGTGTGGCAATTGAAGCAGAGATTATTTATGTTGTAGAGTTCTTTTGCTATTTTCATTGTAGTTCATATAGGAATTTATTTCTGATGTTATCTTTTAGGTTTTGTAAGCAAGTACACAGTTGATGAGAAATGTTGATGTTTATTGTAAACATGCAACACATATTAAGAATGTAATATTTTATTTTATTGATATTTAATGTTCCTGTTAACTACACATTGTATAATATAAGAATATCTTGTCAAAATAGCAAGATCATTAAGATGTCAAGTATGTCCTACAAAAAGGCCAAGAAAGCAAAATACATGTGCTGTGAGTATAAGCGATATGTGTGTATGGAACATGTTATCATGTGTGAAGACTGCCTTATGTATGATAATTGAAGTATTATTTTTTTGTAGAGTTCAAAATTGGTATTTTCATTGCAGTTGTTATTTTGGTATTGGTATTTTCATTGCAGTTCATATAGCTATTTCCATTGCAGTTCATATGGGAATTTATTTCTGTTGTTAATTTTTAGACTTTGTACACCAAAATTTGTCAATGTTGAAAATTTTGATGCTTTTTATAAACAATAAATATTTAAAACTCCATACTTTATGTTTTGATATTTTTCCTATTAAGTGCTCATTGTTTAATATAGTAAAACTCATAAAATTAAAATTAATAATTCATCAATAGACATATTCTAAAGAAGACACATTGGTATTATACACCCATAGTAGTGCACTTTTATGACAAAATTGATGTTATGCCCAGCAGCTAATAGTAGTGCAAGTTTTTATAACCTTAGGAGCATCTAAGAGCATGGTCTGGTACTTGGTAAGCCATCCCCTATTAACCACAAGTAATGTTTTGTCTCCAGAATAGCTCTGACATCATGGGGAGTCAGGACTTCTAATCTCTGTCCCAAAGTTGACTTTCCAGCTTCATCTGTTAGTATAGCTGTAGCTGCTACTGCTCTGTGGCAGGGTGGACATCCAGCAGCTACTCCACCTAACTTTTTTGAAGAGTATGTCACTAGGCAAGGTTCCTATCCCAACCTTTGGGTCAAGACCTCCAAAACCATTCCTCACTTTTGTGGTATATAGAGAAAGAAGGATTTTTTTAAAGTCAAGAATTTCCATTACTGGAGCCTGAGTGAGGACATACTTTATTTCCCTAAAGACATTGTCAGTCACTTATGTCCATTCTAGGGGCACAGACTAAAGGTCTTTGACAGCCTCATATTAAGGCTTTCCCCTTATTCCAAAATTAGGTAGCTAGATCCTACGAAAACCTGGCATGTCCAGGAAGGAACAAAGCTGTTGTTTGGTAGCAGGAGGCCTCTAATGGTTGATTCATTGTGTTAACTTGAGAAGTTTAGAGGCTTAAATAAGTGACTCATCAGTTCTACATCCTAAGGTACAGAGGACTCAACCTAGGGCAAGTAGCCTGCATGCAATATAAGGGAGGAAAGGCGGCTTGCTCTCCCTCCTTTTTCACTCTTGTTGCTTTTGCTGTCTTCTTCTGCCTTGAACTGTTGCCCCTCACCTTGACATACTACCCTGGAGCCAGCTGATTATGGACTGAAGCCTTCACAAACTGTGAGCTAAGTAAACCTTTCCTTCCTTAATTTTGAGCATCAGGTATTTTGTCTCAGCAATGAGAGAAAAGTGATTAAGACAAGGCCCAAGATCACAGATAACCTGGATTTGGTCCCTAGATAACTGTTGTTCCCCAGGTGTGAGAATATATCCCAGATATTGAATTTTTTGAGAGGATATCTGAGCCTTTTTGTTTGGAAACTTTATATATCTTCTTAACTAGAAAATTGAGTTTGGACAGTGTTATGGTTAGATAATTCCTGAATTGAGCTGCAGAAATCAGCTGGAGTATTTTAATCTTATAATTACTGACACAGCTGAATGTGTGCCTAGTAGGTATTCCTTTGTACCATGCAGCAGGATTTACCTGTTGGCTAATTTGGTCTGGGAGACCTGGGTATAGTCCTAGCAAGCAAAATCCATTTTAATTTTAGCTGGAATTTGAGAATTTCCCCCAATTTTGTTAATAAATCTCTTCCCAGCAAGCGAGTAGGACACAGTGGGGCAATTAGAAATTCATGGTTAAATATTTGATTTTCAAAGTGATGTGTCAGGTGAGGAGTAAAGAATCTCTGACTAGGGGCCCCTTCAACCCTAACTATGCCAATAGGTTTAGAGAATTTTCTGGAGAAGGAAATAAAAACATACTGAGCTGTCCCTGAGCTGTCCCTGTATCTATAAGCAGTTGCACTGGCTCACCCATGATGTCCAAGATTGCCAGGGGCTGATCAGAACCCTGGATACCTGTTGGGGGAATGACAGCGAATAAAGAAAAAGGCAATATTCAAGGTACAAGGGGACTGGGAGGAACCTACCTTTAGAGGACTGGCTCAAGGATCTCTGCAGTTGACCCACTTTTATTAGCAAGCAAGAAGCACAGGAAAGGGGGTAGTATATTTTTCATGGAACTTCAACTACAGTAGACAGGGAACAAGTTAATGGGGAACAGGTTCTTCCCTATACCCAGGTGCCTGTATCCTTTAGATTTTCCTCTGTAGATGCTATCTTGCCTTAGGAACAATGTGGTTATGAGCTTTCTCTTCACAACCAGAAAGATGTGGTCTTCCAACCTACTTCTCTGTTCCTAAAGCAAGTCACACCAAGCTTGAGACCACAGGATCCTGTCATGAAGCCCAGCCATGTATCCCTAGCATAGTAAAATATTATTTCATATCCCCTGGTCCACAATAGCTCCCCGTTTTTGTTTCTGCAATTTTAAGAGTTCAAACAGCATTACTTGATGTTGGATAGAGCCTAGACATTGTCTGGTTTGGCTTCCTCTGCAGCAGACTAAGAATAGAAATAAAAGACAGACTTGTTAATATAAACAAACCATTATAGAATCCAAAATGAGTCTTGAGGTAATTCCATGGATTGATTTGATCAAAGTATTAGTAAACTTGTCCTAATCTTGGATTTTTTGTCAAAGTTTTGGGTTTGTTGAGACATAGACAATACTTCCTTTTGTAAGCCTTCTAGATCCAAAGTTGTTGCTGTGCATAGCGCCCTGTATGTGTTTTTTTTTATATGTAAAAAACTCGGTAATTACTCATTCCCAAGGATGAGTGGATTGGTTATAAGGAAGAGGAGTTATACAATACCAAGTGATGCTAAAATGACACCGAAGGCCTTGCTATAGCTGCAGGCTCTCTATTTGATTTTCTATCCACATAACATTAGTTTCTTTGTGTGTGTGTGTGTGTGTGTGTGTGTGTGTGTGTATGTGTGTGTGTGTCTTTTTGAGATAGGATCTCACTATGCAGTTCAGGTTGGCCTTGAGCTCACTTTGTAGCCCAGGCTGGCCTCGAATTTGCAATGATCCTTCTGCCTCAGCCTCCTGAGTGCTGGAATTATAGGCGTGCGCCACCATACCCACCTCAACGTTAGTTTCTAAAACACTAATCTGTAACTGAGGTTTTGTGCCAATAGGGTGTGGTACATTCCAAGCTTTATCTGCTGTTTTGGTCCAGCTGTATATAAAATGAGCAATCTGTATAGAGTGAGCAAGAGCCACAGAGGACAGGGGAACCCTTGAGGTTAACAATACCAAAGAGGCAATTCCAGCAATAATTAAGCCCAACATTTTTTGTGCTCTATGTATAAGATGATTAATCAGAGATTTTAATAGATGACTAGCAGAAGTGTTGGCCCATGGTTCCGTAAGATTCATGGGCATCCAGACTCCAGGCATATGCTTCAAGACTAGTAAAGTCTTGTTTGCTAGGGCTCAAGCTGCTACATTCTCTGCATGTAAATGTGGTAAGATTCCATTCAACAATATAAGAAAATGTAAGGATTATACATACATATGAAAACTGTGGGTTTTACCTCTCCAAATTTGGACACTAGAAGTATTTGCAGTACATTTGGTTAAATGTCCTTTCCATTGTTGACCTGTATAATAGGGAAGAGCTAATTTTGAAAAGTTTTTTTGAAGGGGTCCAGGCCTGCTTTTAATGATGGCCTGCAGCAATGGGGGACTGAAGCCATTTCCATGCTATGCTAATTGCTCCTCAGCATCAGAATACAAAATGGAGGTATTCCTTCATTAGTAATTAGTGCACCAACACCAACAGGCCATATGCTAGATTGAGCGGTTTTTGTCTCTTCCTTCTAGCCTCCCAGGAGGGCCCCAATCTATAAATTCAAATTGATTTAGGCACATTTTTTGCCCCCTATCTCCTATATAGGAGATTCATGGTGGGGGGCAGAATCATGTGTCTCCCCAGAATGTATACTGTGTACACGGAGGAATGTCAGGTGTGGAGGAACTGATCTAGTCCCCTGGGATGTTCATAGATCCCATTCCTAAAAATATTAATTGTTATCCATAATGGGCCATCCAAACCTGTGGGTCAGCAGGTAGGTAATAAATAGATTGTAAAGACTTATGCTCAATGCATAAGGATAAATATAAAAAGTATAACACAGGAATATAAAAAGTAATATAGGAATCCACAAACCCAGGGTCATAAAAGGTCTTGGAACCCAGTCTAATCCATCATGATGAATCTCAGAGGGAAAATCACACCACATAAGGGGTTGTAAGAAAGTGGGTTAGGTACTGATATCCAGTATTCTTTTCCAGACACTGGACTTATACATGCAGTGCAGGCAATGATGGCCATCGTGGCAACAAACATATTTTCTAGTGTATATGGTAGGCTTTGTCTCATCACCAATTTTTCAGCTTCCTTGGTTGTCTTCATCACTTGTCCCCACATCACCTGTGTGATCAACAGCAGCTGAGGCATCTCCTCCAGGGTCATCCTCAAAAAAGGCTTGCACTGGTGGGCCTGGTAGCAGCAGGCTCTCCCATGAGTTTGGAGATCTCTTCTCTCCATGTCACATGTTTCAGGATGGCACCCACCACAGTGTTTCTATTGTCTGTTAATACACAAGCGTACACTCATCCCCATGTTATTAACTATACTGGCCCATCCCATTTTCCTGTATGGATGTCTTTCCACAGGACTTGTCCCCTAGGTGTGCTCGTCCATTTGTCCTTTTGCCAATGAAGTTCTGATGGAGTGTATTTACTTTTTGCAACTGGGTTTTAAAAATTTGAGGTAAAGGAAGCAAGATCTAATTGTGCCTATAGAGGTAACCATACTCCCCCTTTTTGTTTCTGTAATTGTGTTTTTAAGGAAAGGTATGCATGATCCACTATGGCTCAGCCCTGAGGATTATATGGAATACCCATAAGATGTCTAATATGCCAGAATTGAAAAAAGGAGGACAAAGCTTTGCTGACAGATGAGGGTCCATTGTCAGTTCTAATTGTATGAGGTACTCCCATAGCAACAAAAGCAGATAAGCAATGTTGCTGCACATGTCCTACTTTTTCACCCCCATGGCAGGTGGTATGAATCATATGAGAATAAGTATCTATACAGATATGAACATATTATAGCTGCCCAAAGGATGGGATGTGACTGACATCCATTTGCCAAATTTCATTTTGTTGAAGGTATTGGGGTTGTATCCTTCAGTGGAATGGGGTGAGGGATGCATTGGGAAATAGAACATGACCATTGTTGTGCTTGTGAACAAAATAATTGAAATTATTTCATTATGGTTTTACTATTTTGATGATGGTATGAGTAGAATTGTCTGGCCATATCAAAGGTAGTAATATAGGCTACCAATGAATCAGCCAAATCCAGTTATTGTCACTCGGTAATTCCTGAGAATTATTCAAGGTTAGCAAACAATCCTGTCTTATTTTTATCTTTTGGGATTCTTACCACCTATTCTGTAAGTAGGGTTCTTAAATATAGATAAGAGCTGGAGATCTGTACTTTATCAGGAGCTATGCACAGGCTATGGCTCTTAAGATTTTTTTTTTTTTTTTGTACTGGGAATTGAACTTAGGACCTTGTGCTTGCCAGGCAAGTCCACTGATATCTATTCATGGCCTTAAAATTGATACTAGGTACAGAGCAAGAAAAACATTGACAATCAGGGAGATGTAGAGGGATTGTGAAAAAACAATCTTTTGGAAAATAATAATCAGTGGCCATTCTCAGGGGCTGGGTACAGGGGATGGGAGGCCAGGCTGCACAGCCCCCACAGTGCCACTGAACTATATCCCTGGCCCTAAGGTTCTTCTTGACTGTAGCAAACAAAGCATGTAACTGTGCCTTTGACATTGTAGACAATATGTCATCCATATAATGGATAGTATAAGCTTGAGAATACTTACGCTGAGCAGGCTGTGAGACTCAAATTACAAAATGTTGGCGGAGTGTGGAGATATTCATCATTTCCTAAGGCAAAACTGTCCACTGATATCTATTCATGGCCTTAAAACTGATACTAGGTACAGAGAAAGAAAAACATTGACAATCAAGGAGATGTACAGGGATTGTGAAAAAACAATCTTTTGGAAAATAATAATCAGTGGCCATTCTCAGGGGCTGGGTACAGGGGATGGGAGGCCAGGCTGCACAGCCCCCATCAGCTCTAAGGAGGCATTTACAGCTTTTAAATCCTGTAGCAACCTCCATTTTCCAGATTTCTTTGGGATAACGAACATGGGAGTGTTTAAGGGGCTAGCAGACAGCTCTAAATGTCCTAATTGACTCTGTTCTTGTACCAATTAATGTAAATGTGCTAGCTTCTCTTGCTTTAGGGGCCACTGATCCATCTAGACTAGGGTGTCTGTTTTGCATTGAAGTGACACAACCATTCTGGGGGTAGAAGTATGAATGGCCCCTATCAGAAAGGGGGCTGATACCCTATTCCTGCACAGTCTAGTTTAGGAGTCACTAATAGTGATTTGGGGCTGCCTTCTAAATTCTCTCCCAAGCCTGAGCCTAATTGATACCCCATCTTTTACATAATTTGTTCTGTGATAGTAACTGGCTCATAGGTTAACATGATTTCTTCATTCCTTTAAAAGATCTCTTCATCATGATTGACAGATATAGTGGCCACAGAAGATTGAAAGACTCCAGCCTTGCTTTCTGGGCCTGAATATGGTATGGGAGTTGTACTCTGTAACACTTGTTGAGGTGAATGAAGTCCCACTAATGAGGTTGCTGACGGTTTGGTGGGCCAAAGGGAAGGCCATTGCTCAGTAGCCATGACAGATACATTGACTTCAGTGTCCAGAAAACCCTGGAAATATTTTCCTTTTATCTTTATCCTACACATTGACCTTCTTTCATTCAATTCCTAGGGAAATAAGTCTCTTTGGAAGTGGTGCTACCAAAGCCTCATTTTCTTTTTTGTTTTCTATGTTGGGTCGAGGGAAGCCCTTCTAGGGGAAGAAGTATCAACTGAGCAATGTAATCACTGGGTTCAAGAACCCAAAAATCAATAGAATGGGCTACAACTTGAATTTCTCCTTCATAATCAGAATCAATTACCCTGAGTATAACAGCAAAGTCCTATAAATTTGATCTGCTTTTCCCCATAATCAATCCAAAGGTACCTTCAGGTAATGGTCCCCATATTCCAGTGGGTATCCTTGCTGGCTTATCCGCTGCCCAAATAAGTGTTACTCTTTGAGTAGCAGGGAGATCTAATCCTGCGCTTCCTGGTATTCCAAGAATGAAGGAAGTAATGTCTCCCTGGGGACCAAAGATGGATTGTAGCTTGTTGCCTGAACTGGAGAGGTCCCTGTGGTTTGCAGGGCCTGAGGTTGGGCCCAGTTCCAATTTCCCAAAGGGAGTGCTGTCCTTATGATGTTTTGAAGGACAATTTTTGCCCAATAATTTCCTGTATTACACTGAGGGTAAAGACCAGGGGCCAGATTGATATTTCCCCTGTAGGAGGTGGAACTGTAGCCCCTGTTTCAGCTGGAGCAGTACATTGTTTGTGGATATGTCTTGTTTTTCTGCAATTAAAACATTGGACATTGGCATTTTTTGTCCCCACTATAAGACTTAACATTGCTTGGGCTAACACTGAGCTTTTATAAGTCTTGGTTCACATATTTGGACAAGCTTTCAGATAATTTCCAAGACTTTTTGTGGCCCTGACCATACCAAGGCCCTATCTGCAATCATTATTTGCATTCTTAAAAGCCAACTGAAGCACAATAATTTCAGCTGCTTGTGAATGAGGGATCTGTCCGTGGACTGCCTCCTGTAATCTAGCAAGCAATTGAACATAAGAGTCTCATGACCTTTGTAAGATATGCAAAAAGGAATGGACTGGAGTACTCTCCTTGGGAGTTGCAGCCCATACCCATTTCATCATCAAATTTATCTGGTCATGTGCTTCATTAGGGTAAGTTAATTGTTGTGCAAGAGCTGCATGAGGTCCCATTCCCAGCAGCACATCCTCCTTCCTGATCTTCCTGCTGCCTTATTTCTGCTTGCCTGTTCTATCACAAACTCTTGTAGCTGCATGGTGAAATGGAGATATTGAGCTGCTGATAGACAGGAATGAGCATGATGTTTAATATCTTCTAGGACCATATACAGAGCTCCCAAAATGGACTCCAGGAGTTCCAATGTTAATGGTCCCTATACTCCTTTATTCATTACACTCTATTTTGACTCTTTCAAAACCTTATGCTCTATCCTGTGATGTTCATGTATCATTTGTTGGGTATTATTGCAGTCCTAACAGTAATAGGAAAACAGCAGGGCCCAGTGGGATCCCCAATCATCATTGCTTGCCAAATAAGTTGCTGGTACTTAAGACAAGCAAGGATGGCCTGCTCTAGCCTCTAGAAATTATGGAGATGTGGACCAAGAAAGAGTCTCTCTACCTTCTTCCTGATCTTTCCCCTTTCCCTCATCACGGGGAGCAGTAGCAGTTGTGGCAATAGTTGAAGCACACAAAGGTCCCAATATGGATTTCACCAAACTCCATGTTGAAAGGGTGTCCGGGCAATCTGTTCTCCCCTAGTATGGGTGCTTCTTAAATTTTTGCCCACTCTGTCCAAATTCTCTGCATCTGAAGTTACCACCTGCAGAAACCACGGGTTATGCTTGGTAATATCTTGCAGCCTCTTTGAAAGAGAGTGGGTACTGACCTGGGCCCTTGCCTGTCTCAACAACATATGCAGTAGTGCACATATCTTTGCTCCTCTACTGACAAATTCTGCTCCATTATTCCAGTTAGAAAAGCTTTTGCATGGCACTACTACTTACTTTCACTTCTGCTCAGCCAACTGCAAATTCATCCCATGCGATGCCCTGACATCTGCACTGCTCCTTCCCACTCTGGTGGGTCTTCTCCAAGTCTCATGTTCATGTGTTTGGGTGCCAGACACTCGGATACCTGTGGGGGGAATGACTGGCAATAAAAAAAGACTAAGGCAAAATTCAAGGCACAAGGGGACTGGGAGGAACCTGCCTCTAGTGGACTGGCTCAATGATCCTTGCAGTTGACCCACTTTTATTATCAAGGGAGAAGCACAGAAGGGGTAGTATATTTTTCATGGAGCAGTGACTCCAGTAAATAGAGAACAAGTTAATGAGGAACAGGTTATTCCCTATACCCAGATGTCTTCATTGCTTAGATCCTCACCAGATGTTATCTCACCTTAGGAGCACCGTCGTTAAGAGCTTTCTCTACGCAAACAGGAAGCATGCAGCCTTCTGTCTTCTTCTCTGTTCCTAAAGCAGATCACACTGTGCTCAAGACCACGGGACCCTAGTCATGTAGCCTGGTCCCCAGCATTGTCAAATATTATTTCATATCCCCTGGTCCCTAGCACAAGATTTCCCAGGGTTCCTCATATGAGATGGTGATGTCTATAGACAGGGAATTGCAGGTTCCCCTGGGGCTCTTCAATTGTCAGAGCAGGAAATGAGGGCTCTAGCTGGCTGAACCCCTCTCTGGGAGTGGGGCAGTTAGACCTCCAGTGCCAAGAGTCAGGCACATTAGCTGCCTCACATGTGGAGCAGGGACCACACGGAGGCTTGGTGCAATCTCATGCCCAGTGTCCAGTTCCTTTGCACTTGAAATAGGAGCTCTTTCCTCAGTTGTCCCTGGGTTTTTCCTCAGATGATCTTGGTGGGTTTAAAGCTTTACCAATTGCAAGAGCTATAATCTTAGTCTTTCTCTTTTTTTCTCTCCTCTGGGTCCAGAACAGGCTGTGTCCAGCAATTGGACCATAGTTGTCTATGGCCTCTGTTTTAAGTTTTTGTAGCTTACACCAAATATCTGAGATGACTGACAGATGAAGTGTTGTCCCATTAGTGCCTCTCTCTTCCTGGAAGATGGATCTATATTAGTATATTTGTGGAAGGCCTCTGCTAATCGGTTATGAAACAAAGCTGGATTTTCCTTTCCTACAAGACCTCACTCACTTTATCATGTTTAACAGACTTTTGCCTGCACATTTCCTCACCATGATAAGAGCAGCTAGCATACTAGACATCATTTATAATCTTTGCTGAGTATTACAGTCCCCATTTGGCTCTGCTGAAGAGAGAATAGCTGTTTCAGGGTGGTTTCTTTTCCTTTTTAAAGTGTACTGTTCATCCGCATAGTTTCTAGGCTCTTGTAGTATTCTCTGTCTTTCGTCTGAAGTACAGCCAGTGGTCCAGATGTATTGGACATCTTGCCATGGTCAGTTAAAAGCAAAGGTCAAAGCATCTGCAAACTTACTAAGGTCTTCTGACAGTTTCCCTAGTCATTCCCTGCACAGTTAGACATCTGAAGCCAAAAAAAAGAACCTCTACTCAAGTATTTCCTTCCATCCCTGGGACTCCTCTTAGGGCCAGGACAAGTTGTAAGCCAGAGTAGTAAGAAATCGGTCTGCAGGGCTTAAAGCCATCTGTGCATTCCCAGCAGAACTTAGGGCTTTCTGCCAAGGAGCTGAGGAATGTTGGGCTCCTCTGGGACACTGGGCTCTAACAGAGTCACCTGATTACTGGGAGGGGATGGATCTGATTTGTTGGTCTGAGGACTATAAGGAGGAGGTTGAGGAGACTTCCTAGTGTGATTATTCTCCTTAAACAGATCAGCAAGACCAAGATCCCACTGAGAGACAAATAGGGGTCTTAGAACAGGGTCATCTGGGATTTCTTTGCCTGCCTCAGGACCTGCTAGACTTGTAGAGCTTCCTCCTGATACAGACTTGCACGGAAACTAAGTACTATAGTTCTTGAATCTTCCCTTGGGTAGAGTTACAACAGCCTGAACACCAGGCATTTCACTCCACCTCTCACATTTCATGCAGAAACGCTATATCTGGACAATAGTTTCATAGTTTAAAGCACTGTCCTGAGTTTGATTCCTGGTACCAAAAAAAAAAAATAAAGTACCACCCCTTGCCCATCTTTTGCCACCTCCCAATTTGTATTGAACCCATACCATGCTATAATAGTAGATGTGAGGGTTGATTGACTGTGTCAACTTGAGTAAGAGAAGCTCAAGGAAACTGGCTCAGCAATTCCACACCCTAGGGTGTGGAAGATTCACCCTAGGCTGGCCATCACCTGGATGGTATAAAGGGGAAGTGAGAAAGGACAGATCTGCTTCTATACTGAAGAGGAGCTCCAATCTTTGCCTTCACCTTGGACGTCGTCTCTTGGCTTCCAGCACAGACTCTTCAGCCTTCCCTCGCACACCCATTGGCCTCCTGATACAGACTTGCGCGGGACACTCCAGTAAACTCCAGACCCTAGAGTGAAACTTTCAGTCTCCAATGTGCAAACACCCTCTGCACTCTTCCTCACACAACTCTGCAGGTGACCATGTTAAACCAATCTTGTAATTTCTTGTACATTTTTATATCTTATGTTATATCTCTTTCTCTAGCAAAACACTGACTGATACCCTCACCAATCATGTTTTTCTTAGAATTTGGATTTTTGGAGAATGCTAACAGATAATTACATAGTCTTACAGAGAAAACTGGAGATTGAAGGCAGCATAACATTTTAGCAAAATTATAAAGACATCATTATATTAGGACCATTAAGTTTTATTATCTCTGAAACGTGTTTAAATGCTTACCTTAGTACAGAACAATCTTCTAGTCAGTCATAGTCATCTCCATCCTATTACAAAACAATAAATGACATAAAGAAACTTTCACCCAATTTCACGATCCTTCAATAGACTGCCATCCAAGTAAATGTACCTGTCCATAGATAACCTCACAGGTTATTTATGTCTAACCTCTAACTTCTAGAGTGACATTGCCTGGACTGCACAGTGTCTGAGCACCTCTTAATAAGAAAACCTCATTGTTTTACCCACAGAAAAATTTTAGCTTTTGATGATAGCCAATGCAACTGTATTAGAATAATATTTAGCAAGCCTTGTTGGGATGAGTCTCCTATAAGGCTTGAATGAGGAGACCACTAGTTGTCCTGGTATTGGAAAAAAAATGAAATGAGTAGATTTTTGGCAGCTGCTTTATATCCACCAAAAGGAGTCCAGTCCAGCAGTCCCCTCTAAGTCCAAGGGGTCCCCACTTAGTTACCTTAACAATTTTCCCAGATGATTTTAGATCACAACAGTCAAAACACTGTTCCTGACAGAAACTCTCATGTTATTACATAAGAGTCCTTCCCTGATCAGAAATAGCCCACCAACCAGTTATTCTATGTAGATGACAATAGGTATTGCATTCATAAAACCTATGTAGATACCACTTTGATTGACAGATAACCTGAATGAAAATATGTCACTGACCTTGAAAACATCTTTTACCCTTATTTAAACTACCCCACTGATAAACCATGTGGACCACAAGCATTTGAGACAATGTGCTGCATGTCCATCCATCTGGAGGCCATATTTAACCATATGCCTAAATGTATTAATAAATGTAGTTGTCCTGAAAAGCTATGTAAATTGTTTTCCGTGGAAATAAAAAAGCCAAAGACATAAAAGGAAATAACTGAGCTCAAGAAATGTTTTCTTTAAACACAATAGCTGCCGGTGTTGTAACCAGTTACTAACATAGATTGGACAGAGAGACAGACAAGCGTACAAGACAACTGCATTTATTTAGTGTGTACTCTCTCTCTCTCTCCATATATATATATATATAAACCATGGCATCATTTAGTTGTAAGAACCCTTGGGGGGGCATTCCTTTCTTTCTGACAAACCGGTTCTAATTTTGCATAGGCAACAGGCTTAGCTCTTGTTTTGCCTAGTTTGTCCTTGCTGTAACAGAAGTGTAAAGGGGCCCTTTTTGCAGGAGGCATTTCATAAACCCACTGAGATTTGAACAAGGGGCAATCCTCATCCCCCATGGGGGCATACACTTTGTTAGCTATAAAAACCTTTTTCTTTTTTTTTTCTTTTTCTTTTTTTTTCAGCCCTAAAAACCTTTTTCTTTCTCCCCAATTAAGTTTCACCAAAGAAGCACAAATTAACCTAGACAGAGCAGTTACTCTTTCCAAAGCTCTTAGATATTCATCGGTGAGACTTCTCCTGTCTTGTTTGACTTTTCTCAATTATGAATAAGTATATGGGTTCTGTCTTGGTTTCTCCCTCTCAAATTGTTTCCAAGGGTCACTAAGCTAGCAAGAGGAGCTGTGTGGCTCTTCCCAGAGTTAGGAGGAGCCAGGCCCTGCTCCCCCTCCTGGGGATGGGCCCTCTTGTCCTGCTTAGCCCCTGGGACTGTATGAATCCTGGCTTCCTAGCAGTCAAAAGAGGGGGTCAACCAACTCAGGATATTCTCAAAAGGCGAGAAATATTAGACGTAGGGCACTTCATTTCACTGTCCCTCTCCCTAACAGAAAACATCCAACTGAAGAAGGATGTTGGGGCTGGGGATTTGGCTCAG